ATATATATATATATATATATATATATATATATATATATTATATATATATATATATATATATATATATATATATATATATATATATATATATATATATATATATATATATATATATATATATATATATATATATATATATATATATATGATAAAAATATATTGTTAAGAAAAAGAAAAAGAAACTAACAAAAATAGTTAATGGGGTTTCCTTTTATTAAGGGAAATAATAAATATAAAAAAGGAATAAAATTTGTGGTTCATTTTGTTTTAAATATTTAAATATTTTTTCTAATAAAAATATTATAATTAAAAAATATAATTTAGTTAAAGGAAAAAGGTAAGTATTTTTTTAGCAGTAAGATAAGTTAATGGGAAAAATTAATTTTTACTAAATAACTAAAAAAAATCTAATTTTATATGATATTAGTGGAATAAAATTTAATTTTTACAAAACAATTTAAATGAAATTAATTGAATAAAAAGTTATTAAACTAATTCTAGTTTTAATCAAAATGTGTTTTTTCTTATAAAAGATAAATCTGGCTAAAACTATAAATAGTACGGTTCACCCATGTTTATTTATATTGTGAAGAGTGCTACATGTCTCACTTTATCTTCAAATAATATTACGATATCAAACAATGAAATAGTATTCAATGGATTTTCCACTCGCACATTTGGAGTATTGTTTTTTTTAGTCAAACAATTTTAATCTATATAATAAATCAATTCATTTAATTTTATAATTTAAAGGAATAATTCATTAGTCAAATTTTATTTTCATAAAAAATCGAATTTGGATAATATTCAAACAACTAGTCCTTAATAAAAACTCATTTTCTATTAGAGTTTAAATATTTAATTTATTTGGAACATTGTTGATTGTTCTATTTTAATTGAAAAGTTTAAATAAATAAAAAAAAAAATTTGCTTTATAATCTTAAATACAAGTTTAAATATGAAATGTTTAATTATATAACAAAAAAGGTTATCAATGTGCATGAATGTGTAAAAGGGGCCTGCTTAAATTATCATGCTAAAAAAAACATAAATTTATGAAGTTGATTGACTTCTATGCTATAAAAAAAAACATAAATATATGAAGTTAATAGATTTTTGCTACGGTGTATTTGTTAAAAACGTATAATAAAAGTAATCATGTATTTGAATGATTGTATATGATGCTTATAGTTGTTAATGGTGTTTAGAGTTAACTCACGTGAAATGAGAAATTCTTTGATTGTTAATGGTGTTTAGAGCTAACTCACGCGAAATGAGAAATTTTATGATTGTTAATGGTGTTTAGAGCTAACTCACACGAAATGAGAAACTTTGTATATGTGGATTTAGGTGAATAATCTTTGGGGGTTTCTTTATCCACTCTTATATCTTTTTAAGGATCCCTGACGAAATTCCTGTAATACTCCCTGAATTCGGATATGCATATCTGAACGAACCAAATATTTCATTTTAAGAGGATTTTTGGATATGCATATCTCAAATACCCCAATATTTAATTTTCAAAGGGCTTTCGAATATGCATATCCGAATAAATTTTTAAAATAAACACAACGAGTTTTCGGATATGCATGTCCGAATTATGTTGATATACACAAAATGATGAAATATAATATGTCTTTCCCATTTCCATCTATATTTCAACTTTCTCTATTCCAACTCTTTTTTTTTTTGCAATCTTTCAGTAACACTTTCAACTCGTTTTAAGAACAAACTACATTTTCAAGAAGCAAAACACATTTCAACCAATTTCAACAACACTTCAAAGTTGAGTAAGTTTCTCTAAATCTATTGTTCTACTTTACAAATGTAAAATAGTTATTTAGAATTATGTAAATTGAGTTGGTTGAAGTATAACTTGTGAAATGTGGCTGCTCGGGTGTAAAATTAAGTTTTTGGGTGATTTAAGGCAAGAAACATCAGTTGTTTGAAAATAGTTGTCGCAGGTTGTTTCAGTTATGCATATCTAAAAACCCCTCTGTGTGGTTTCGGTTATGCACATCTGAAATAAAGTCCGAGTTTTTTTTTTTTTAAGTTTTTCAAAGTTGTTCAAATGTGTTCCTTCGTTGAGTAATTGTTATTTTTTTTCCAGAAAAATAGTTGAGAACCCGAACGCTAGATTGCGACTTGGTAAACCAAGCCAGACTGCCTCCGCTCGGCGTGAGAGAGCTGAGCAGGATACTAGGAATCGAGGTCGGAGTCGGATACCGCGAGAGGAAGTGGTGGAAGGATCCACTTCAGCTTCGAGGAGTCGTCTGTCTCATGTGCTCTCGTCTCGGGATAATGAGTATGTATCCAAGGAGCTTGATGTTCCAGCACATGAGCCCGGGGAGGTTGATACGAGGTGAAATAAACATATGTGGATGTGGATATCTTTGGTACTTCTTGGATTTGGATAGAGTTGGAGAGTGGAACTGGGGGGCTGGTTGTTTGGTATACCAACAGCTAAATAAAACTTCTAAATGGAGCACGATGCAGCTGACAGACTCTTGCACACTGCTCATGATACATTTCATTCCAACTATTACATTTAATTTTCTATTAATAATTTTTCTTACATATCTCTTATTCGTTTTTAGGGATGGATCATTTCTCACTTACACCACATTCATGATTTCAATTATATGGCGGGTTATACTAAGGACATGCCGATGGCTGCCAGGTATAGCCTCTATAGAGGGAATCATGTTGTGTTATCATTCCGGATGTATCTTAATCGGACTATTCATGATGACATCATCTGGACGCCTTTTGAGGATCATGGGGAGATTGTCTCATTCGACTCCATCTCATTATACTCAGGGTGGCTTGCATGTGAGACCAACATTATGGCCAAGTATCTTCCAGAGCGATGCATCTGACAGTTTGGCTATGTGCAAACTACCCAGATCTCTCTTTCGGGCTGCTCTTGACACAATTGTCTGTCGGGAGCTCGATGGTATCTTCCAGGATTGAGAGAATCATATGGTGCTAGATGAGGCTCGAATGACGCAGACATCCAGCAGTTGGCATTGTGTAGAGGGATATGTCACATGGTTCTACACAGTGTCACACCCTATTATGACATCGAATGATCTTGGACGTCCACCTAGACCAGCTCATGAGGAGATCTTAGAGAATCAGTAGGTCCAGGATGACCATGCCATTGATGTCTTGCTGATCTGTCAGCAGATACAGTTGATTGGGCATGAGGTTTTGGACTTAGGGATCATTGAGAGGGGCGGTCCTGAGGCGGTGGCCATCATAGAAAGGATGGTTAAGGAGACATTTCTTGCAGCGGGTTACGTGAGACAGAGGAGGGAACATGGGTTAGGATTAGGCATACGCAGTAAACTATGTCTTTCTTTTATTTATTGATGTATTTATTTCACATTCAAAACTTCCTAAACAATTTATGTACTAATTTTCGATATTTATGAATAATTTATGTTTTTATCATTTTCGGCCTTTGGTTTACAGTATTATTTAAACGAAATACGTATCAAATATTTGACATTTATTAGGTACCACATTAATGTTTTTTTCAAAAAAAACATTTTGTCCAGTGTTTCAAAGATGCACATCCGAACAAACCCTTAAATCAATTTTTTAGGTGTTTCGGATATGCATATCCGAAAATACAATTGAATGTTTATTAACATGTAAACAGTGAGTTTTCGAATATGCATATCCAAAAATTCTCAAAAAATGATTTAAGGGTTCATTTAGATATGCATATTCGAAGGATATTTTGAGATTTTCATAGGTATTTTTCATCCATATAAAAGTGTATGAAGAAATTCCCTAATCTTTTCCCCTCTTTTGAATCCATAGTTGAGATATTTATAGATCCTTTAGACCTGGATCCTTGGACCCAAGAGTGATATTCTCCTACTTCATTCATGTGCTTGGGAAAGAACTGTTTTTCTCATTTAAGGGTGGGGGACGTGGTTCTCCTTTTTGAATGATTCATCGATTACGTTGGTGTAGATGGTCATATTTTTGGATAGATAGATCGTGAAAACTTTACTGGATAGTCCAAATTCAATCCAAAAGCCTGATGAGGAGTCATAGGCAAGATAAACGCTACACTAGTACTTACCCGACATTCCTTCAAGCGGCTTATGCTACTCGTCCATCCTCAATGAGTTTCATATTACTTATTTTAGTCTTGATCAACTTATTTTAGACTTGATCAACTTATCCCACTACAACCTCTATATCAAACTCAGAACAATACAACATATCTAATCTAATGGTGATTCTAAAACATTTTTCTTTTGTTACAAGGAAAAGAAAATCAAATTTCCTTTGTTCTATATACACACATCCGTACTAAATCATCGATATTTCTTTGGTAAATGATGAAATAATTTGGATTTCAATTTTTCAAAGCAACCAAAGCTGAATTATTTCGCATTTAAAGTTGTTTTTGTGGAGATCACAATGTACATCATCTTCTCTCCAAAGAAAAAAGAACATAAAAAACTTGGACTCAAATGCTTGACTTGCTCTTGATAATCCCCACAATCACTGTCACTCAGATCATAAATTCAACAAATCAGCCTCAACCATTGGGGCTTTTACTACACACGAACGTTAAGATCGCCAAAAGAAAAGATTGAGATAACGAGCTTGAACACTGAAAGAGCCATGACATGGTCTCTACAATTGTAGAGATTAATTTCTCAAATTAATTAATTAAAAGGTTGATCTCTCCCAATCGAATATCTCGAGTTAATTCATTTAAGGGTTTGATCTCTCGCAATCGAATAGTAAGACCTAAACATCTAACAACTCTGCGACACGCTGCCAGGCATGTTGGCACCAGAGAAACAACAATAAACATAGAGAAAGAGAGACAAAGGATTATGAAAAGAATTTCTTTAAAAGAATAGATTTTGAAACAAAATAAATAAGCACAAAGAAACTAAAAGGAAAGCATGTTCAATAGATGAATCAATCCAAGAACTGAGTTCTGCTGCCCTAATTTCCAAAAACTAATGAATGATGTAAGTAAGAGCCAAAGCCAACAACATCAGTACACATGCAACTCCTTGGTCCAAGGTTGTCCCTGACAAAACCAAATAAAACATCATAAATCAACACAACAACTATCAATTAACTTGTTTCCCAACAAACTCACTTGGAAAATTCAACAAACCCATTACTAATCATCATCAAAACTTGAAGATTAACCGGTTCCCAACAAACCCATAATTTTATCATTATCGCAGTAAAAAAATTGAAAAATTTACTTGTTCTCAATAAACCCAATTGGAGTTTGAACATACCCATGATTTAAAAAATTGAAACTTTACAAACCCAATTGAAATTTAAACACACCCATTGATTAATTATCATGAAAAATGAAAATTGACCAGATATCAACAAACCCAATTGGAATTTATTCACAACCCATGATTTAATTATCATCATAGCAGGAAAAATAACTTGAAAATGAACTTGTTCTCCAAAAACCTAATAGAAAATGAACTTTTCCCAACAAATCCGTAGGATTGGATCATCATCAAAGCAGAAAAAAATTGAAAATTGACTTATTCCCAACAGACCCAATTGAAAATTAAACAGACCCATTGATTAATCATCGTGAAATTTGAAGAAAAAATAAAAGGGAAAATTTTAGGGTTTATGATATTAATACCATCACTAGTGGGAGCTGGAGCAGGTGCAGGGATCTGAGCATTGATGGAAGGAACAACGAAAGCCAAAGCAAGAGAGAGAATGGCCATGACGAAAAGCTGAACTCTAAGAATCTCCATTCTCACAAACAACAAAGCTGGTACACTCAATTTGAAACTTGTGAAATGCAATGTTAGGGTTTTGTTTTAATTTATAGTGATTTTGATCGAAAGAATCTCGACTAGAAAAACAACAGAGCCACTCTGGCTGAGGAACAAAGGTTGTCGTTGGCCGTTGATGGATGACACGTGTAGGGTTGAGATTGATTGCACGTTATGGAAAAGAGTAGTGAAATGGAAGAGAGAGAAAAACCAACCAACCAATGAATATGTTCTTCTCTTACCTGCCAGTCTGCCACATGATTGATTATTGGTCGAAATATGAATAGTACAACCTGTATTTTATTTTTGAAGTCATTCTGGTTTGTAACGTTTGTTTCTTCAATTGAGTTACAAGTTTTTATTAGGATAATTGTGTTATTTCTATCTTTTGTGTGCAAAATCTCTCAAATCGAGAAGTACCAAACAAAAAAAATGTTCATGGTTGGTTGGATTCAAACTCAGGAGTTATGGTTAAGATCATATAAGTGCTCTTATATTTGTATTTTAAACAAATACTCTTAGGTTTGCATTTTAAACAAATCCTAATATGTATTATAAATAAAAATTCTCTTCTTAGGTTCATTGAATAATGAATAGATAAAAAAACAAATACATAATTATTATTCAATAAATTTATAAATAATTTTTTTTATTTATAATAATGATCAAAGGAAATACACTACAAGAAATATACTCTCCAGCGACGTGATTATCATGTCACTAAAATTTTGTAGTTGTGACGTAATAATCATGTCATTAAATTATTTTATAATTTAAATAATAAAAGTAAGGTATAGTCTACGCCAGTCAGAATTCTTTTTATATAAAAAAGTTGCGTCGTGGGAAACACGTCACAACATAAAAAGTAGAATAAAAAAAATGTTAAACTTCATGCGTTTTGAAGAGGAAGTTTAAATATTTCAAAAAAATTATTGTAATATGTTAAACACGTCGCAGATGTTAGAGGAAAAAAATTGTATCTTTGACAAGATGTCATTCTGAAACGTGCATGTTGACTGTAAAAATATAATTGTTGTAGGGGTTGCGACGTGAATATCATGTGTCAAGATTGCGACATGATATTCACGTCACTGATTGGCTAATATTTAAATTATAATGTTGAGTGTTGCGACGTGAATATCACGTGGCAAGGTTGCGACGTGATATTCACGTCGCTGATTGGCTAATAAACATGCGCCTTCTCTTTCCAGAAATCATTTGTGTTTCTTCATCCTCTCTCTTTTCTTCTTTCTCTCTTTTGTTTTCGTCTTTCTCTCTTATCTATTCTTTCATTCTTCCATAATCAATTCCAAATTCTATCATCAATTCTAAATTTATTTTGTAACAAATGTATAATGTTTATTCAATTTATTTTTAATATTTTCGTTTTAGATTAATTATGTTTTATGATATATTGATTTATGTTTTTTTTTGTCAAGAAATTGAAGATATTAGAAAGAAAGTTCAACAAAAGGGTTGTAGAAGAAGTTGAAAGATATTGAAGAATAAGTATTTACATTATTTAATTATATTTTGAATTTATTATATATATATATATATATATATATATATATATATATATATATATATATATATATATATATATATATATATATATATATATATATATATATATATATATATATATATATATATATATATATATATATATATATATATATATATATATATATATATATATATATATATATATATATATATATATATATATATATATATATATATATATATATATATATATAATTTACTTATAGTTATTATAGTTAAATGTTTATTTATAGTTAATAATAAGACAATTATTGTATAAATGTACAGTATAGAATATGATCGGTATGGTCGTAGTTGGATGTACGATAGATTATATTCAGGAAGACGTGCACTTAAACCCCATTTTATAGAAGGAGTTAATGAGTTTATCACGTGGGCGTTTGTTCATGAATGTTGTCAAAGCGAAGGAGGAGTTAAATGTCTATGTCTTAAATGTGAATGTAGACCAATAATTAGTGACCCGGAAGAAGTAGCACGTCATTTGCATATAAGGGGTTTCATTGAAAATTATTGGGTTTGGACGTATAATGGTGAAGAACTGTCGAGTAATGTACCAGAGACTAGTAATACGCATGCTTCAAATAGTCACCCGCCTATGGAATATGAGGAAAACTTTAATCTCATCGGTGGGATGGTTGAGGATGCTTTTGGTGTGAACGTGACATATGATCAACCTGAAGATTTTGACGGGGAAGAGTTGTAGAATGAGAAAGTGCATAGATTTTATCAATTGTTGAATGAGATGAATACACCATTGTTCGAGGGGTCATCATGCTCAAAGTTGTCAATGTGTGTGAGATTATTGGTCGTCAAGTCAAATTAGAATGTTCCTGATCAGTGTTTGGAACATTTCACAAAAATGATGTTGGATTCCACCGCAACAAAATACAACTTGCCTACAAGTTTTTATGATGCAAAGAAGTGGGTGTCGAAGTTAGTTTTAAAAGTAAGAAAGATTTATTGTTGCATTAGTGGTTGTATGTTGTTTTATGACAACGAGTTTGGTACTCAAGATAGATTGTTGGAGGAATGCAAATTTTGTAAGAGTCCAAGATGATGATCATGTGGATGGGGATGATGATGTGTTGGATGAAAATGATCTTCGAGAGAATAATGATCCGAGTGAGATTTATGTCATTGACGGAAGATTTTGGATTTGGTCCGAAGGAAACTCATAAGTTTCTTATTTATAAATTTTTATTTAAGATAATACATTTTCATTTTTAATATAAATTTATATTTAATATTGCTAATTCAAATTATTATTGTTTAGTTTCTCGTCGAGTCAGACTGCTGCCAAGGTTATAAATTATATAATTCAGCAGATGTATAAACAATTTTGGAAGACTTTCAAAGATGTCAAAAATAAAGAAGCTTGGTTTAACAAATTTAAAGTATAATTAATTTATTTTTTTAGTTATTGTTATTTAAATGATTATTTCATTGTAATTATCTAACTATTTATTTTAATGTCATACAATATTGTAGGAAAAATGTGTGCGGGACCCATTGAACGAGAAGATGATTAAAAAAAATTATTATGACAGAACCTCAAGACAACTTTCTGACATAATGCAATGTGTTAGAGAGCGTTGGGAACTTCAAGGTATCCGTCCCAATTGGATAGGGAAAGAGGTTTTTGAGGAACTTCTTAAATATTAGGAGTCACCCGAATTTTGAGCTAAATTTGAAAATTTTAAGAAGATAAGGGCATTTGAAAAAGGGGCTGCGTTAATGCAGTTGAAAGTATAAGTACCGCAGAGTATGTTCGACGCATGATAAATATTACCATTTTTTAAAAGTTATATTTTGATTCATATTTTATTAATTAATATTAATTTTATTATTTAGACCAAGAATTTGGGGAGACTTCCATTGATGATTGAGTTGGTTAAAAAGACTCCGACAAAGAAAATTGGAGATTTTGTTGACGAACGCACTCTAAAAGCTTTCGTAAGTTATTTAATTTACGTTGTTGTTTATATTTTTTTTATTTAATGACAATTTTGTGTCGTGATTTTCACGTGGCAACTGAGAAACTGTGACGTGAAAACCATGTGGCAATTGAGAAGTCGTGGCGTGAAAATCACGTGACAACTTTTTAAATTTAATTTAATTTAATTTAATTTAATTTAATTTATATTATTTTTTTTATTGAATGTATATGAGGATTATCGGACATTGCTCCAAATTTTCTGATTCATAATCCTCAACATATTCCGGGAGAGGGAGAGTCGCTTCATCCAGATGTGGATTTTTATATTTGGGATCAAGTCATTGGCGGAAAAGACCCTAACGATTATTTTTTTGGTGGTGGAAATTTGGCGGACACTTTGAGAAGTGGGGATAGAACTCTATTTCAAAGAGTTAGAGACGGGGAAGGGGGGTCACGTCAACCAAATTTGACACCAGAACAACTTGAAACGATAAGATAATTAACGTTAAATGAGGCGAGACGCGAGTCAGCGCAACGTGAGGCGACAATGAAAGCTCAAATGGAGGCAATAAGGCAAGAGCAACAATGACAAATAGAGGTCATGGCGAAGAAGCAAGCTGATATGGAGCAACAAATGAGACAATTTATGCAAGGGTTTGGTGGAAATCCAAACTTTCTTGGTCAAGAATCAGAGGATGACGGAAGCGAAGATAATTTTGACATTGACAATTATACCAACTAAGATAACCTGTAAACTTAATTTTTTTTTTTGCTTTAATTTCAAATTTGAATTTGTATACCATACTAATTAATTAAACCTACTAATTAATTCTTAAATTTATAATTTTAATTTATTAATTTTATTATATTAAATTTAATATATTGAATTTATTATATATTGAATTTATTTTATATTGAATTTATTATATTGAATTTATTAAATTAAATTTATATAAAAGAAAAACAAATTCAGTTATTAAATTAAAAAAAAAAAATTAGTGACTTGATTTTCACGTCACAACTTGTGACGTGAAAATCACGTCGCAACTTCATATTTATATATATAAAAAAAAGAGCTAAATGCGTAAGAGGCGTTAACTGTAATCATTTAGTAACGTGTTTTTCACGTCACTAATTTGTGACGTGAAAAACACATTGCAACTAAAGTTACTTTAACTCTGTTGCGCCTGTTTTTCCTGCAGTGTTGCATTTCCTATAAAAGTTTGTTGCGACGGGATTTTTATGTCACAACTTTGTGAAATAAAAATCACATCGTAAACTATTTGTCATATCCTCTCGAGCCACGTGAACGTACACATCACAAATAATTTGTAATGACGTGATTTTTCATGTTGTGACGTGAAAATCACATCGTAAATGAGAGTATTTTTTGTAGTGATACAAACATAAAACAATAATTAGACAATATTCAAAAAAGTGGATTGATTATATGAATTGATTACAAGGATCAACTTCCGTCGTATTTCAGATAATTAATTTCGAAAAATTTCTAAATAATTTTTCTATACTG